AAAGCCACATTCCTCCCTCCAGTTTAAATCCTACATCAGAGAACATCTGTTTTATCGCTGGTAACAGCTAAGGGGAATTCAGACTGCTGTAAAGCAGTATGACGCAGTTAATGACGGATCCGAAATCATTTCATATATTACCTCAAATTAAATTAATACTTCGGTTTAAAAGTTACACAGTGCTGTTTTAATGATGATGATGATGTCATCACAGCCATGACAAAATACTTGATATATACTTAATAAATGAGAGAAATTATCAGAAATAAACTATATTTTAACTGCATTTGAAAACAGGCATGAAACCTTTAAGTTTCATGCCTGTTTTCACATTTAAGTCACATAAAGAACTTTTTTTTTTTTCAGAAAAACAACACATGCCAATATAGAACTGTTCATTGTAATAAAACATGTATAAGTGTATCTCATGTATCAACTTTCTAGACACACACAAGTAAAAAAAATAAAAATATAAAACACCATTAAGCAAGCTGGGGGTTTCATACAGAAGTACTGTATGGAGGAAGGGGAGTCTTCAATTTGATATATGAAGTACTGGAGATTTTTTACTGAGCTGTGAATTTAAATAATGACTAGCACTGCTGGAAATGTTATTATTGGAGAGGTAGTTTTCAGGTAGCAATAGCAGTTTTGTCTGTGAGCTGCAGGATCTCAGTGGAGATCCAGAAATTTTAAAGGTCAAGTCTATAGCCAGACTACAGACAATTATAAGTAACTCTTCATTCCTTATTCACATTTCCTTTCAGCTTTATTGACTTTTGCTTTCGGCTTTTAACTTTAGAGTTACATCTTTTATTAGTATAGTGTTATTTCCCTAAAATAAATGAACAAGATTTTTAATTGTAGAAGATTCATCTTTGTCTTGACAGTATCAAAAGACTTCAGATAAGCTATCAATGCAAAAAAAAAAAAGGACAGTAAATCTTTTATATGATTAACAACCAATGAATAATTCTCAAAGTGGTTCTGAAAGATTACGATTATGTTCTATGATGTACATTAAATATTAAATAAAACCTTAAATAAAGTGGTTCACTAATGAAGAAAGTTTTTGCAGTCAAAATATAAACTGTACACACTATTTTTGGCATTAGTGAACATCTACAGTTTGCTTACTTCCTCTTTCTGATAACTTGTAAGGATTTTCAAATGAATTTAAAATTTACAATTGAAGTACTAATTTTAAATCCTGGACAACATAAAAGGACTTTATCTAATGTTTAACATTTTTTCTGTCCTGCAGTCTTTTTCACAAATTGACATGTGCACAAAAATGGTAAAAATGGAGCCTAGTCAGAAGTTCAACTGAAGAAACTTACTCTCATCCACCTGCGACACAAGCTAATAAACTTTGAACCGCACCTCCACGAAACCCAATCAGCATCCATAGTTCATCTTAAAAGGTCTCCAAATCCATAACTCAGTCTGCTACCAAAAGCGCAGGCAGTGGTTGTGCTATGTCATACTTCAATTCAGATGACCCCGATTCAACCCACCCTCATCCCCTCCTCCACCATCGTAGCTAAATTTTCATTAGAGTGTAATTCCTCTCGGACTCTTGCTGCGCTCCCTGTCTGATCACAACTGGTACGGCAAAAGACCGCCATGTTGAGCCTTGTTCTGTCAAAGGTTTCCTTTCAAAGGGGAGTTTTTCCTCTCCACTGTTTCCATATGCTTGCTCATCATGGACAGGTTCTTGCAACCTGTGTTATACAAGCTGGACTTTCAACCTCCAGGTCCCTGAGTGAAGCACTAGTATCAGCTAACGCAGTCTGCGGGATCTCTCCATACAGCTCAAGCACACCATCTCGCCAACCAGCAGACTGACTAACTTCATCCACCTCCACTCCACCACCAGTTTCAAGCCTGGGGGGAAACATCCCTGTTCTTTACCGCTGTTCGTGCATATTTAACAAAATTGAGCATTAATGTTTCCTGCCGAGGTCTGAGCGCCAAAGACTAAAGTAATTGGATCAATAAAATTCTTCTAATTGCCTTTTCCTTTCCATGTAATTTTTCTGATTAAAATGCATGTAATACATTTGTGGGCATAAAAAGGTAATAATGGAAATTAACTTTAATTCTATTTTTAAATTTTATGTTTTTACATTGTTTTAATAAAAGAGATCTAAAGCAAATTGGTCAATGTAACAAACGCTACTCTGTGTAATTCTGTATGTAGGTGTGTGTTTGTGAGAAAAAAATAACATACAATCCAAGGTGATCTTATTAAAAAATGTAACTTTTCATTTGCAGATTTCACTTTAGCCTAGCCCTATGAGGACAGGAAGTAATATTTCGCAGTAACTTTCATGCACATAAATTGTAGCCAGTGTCTGATTGCATACAAAAAAAACATTGAAACCTTTTTAAACCATTATTTAACCCCCCCTGTGGGCATGGCAGGGTAAAAATTTACATATCTAATTTTTTGCATGATCAAATATAGTTTGAAAAGAATATGAGTGATCTTTGAAATACTGTAAAGAGTTCATTTGTCATGATCTGCTCTGATAGCTGGCCTTAATAGCTCCTTTCACTCACCTGCCTAGTTGCCCAGGTTGTAATCATCGGATCTCATCCACCTGCCGGTTTCCCTTATATTGGGTTCAATTCCAGCTATAATGGCTAGATCATTGTTTGAGTTCTGTTTCTCCAGTCAGTCAGTTTTGTTAATTTTAGTTAGTTCCAAGGTTTTTGTCCCTGTTCCACTGAGGAGTTTATTCTCAAGCGAGTAATTTTTTCTAACCAGTTGATGAGAGCATTTCAGCGTTTCCATAGTGATTCTGTTTTCCTGATTCTGGCCCTGTCTGTCCCTGCCTGATCTGCCCACCTTAACCTCAGTAGGACTCCTGCTGGATTCTGCCTCTCTGTGTGTTTCTATCTAAGCTGGTTGCTTGACGCACAGGACTCTAAACCTGGCTTCACGCTCTGATGGATTCCTGGAACCCGGATCTGTCCGTTCCTGAGTGGTGCAATCTGTTAAACCAGGTAAGTGACTCACTCTAATAATCTTCTGATCAGATGATTGTGGTCACTTACCTGTGTTTCTCCCTAAACCAGAGTGTCAGTGATTGGGCGGTGCCCGCCTCCCTCCTGCAGTTGGGACGCAAATCCTCAGCAGTTAGCTTCTGTTCTGTTCTGTTTTTTATTTTATTAAAAGTTTCGAACTTTCCTACTGGCTTTCTCACCTTGATTACTGGGTCCATATGTCTCGTTTCATTACATCCAATGGATAAAATTGTACTTTAACTCAACTCTGCCTCCTGTATAACATATAAAAATCTACATCAGATCCTATCCGTCCAAATTTGATATGCCTTCTCATTGACATCTTGAAAAATGAACATCCTTATTCTTAAATAAGCTCCCTCCATTAATAAAGTGGCCACCTGTGCTTGGAAAGTCGAATGGTGACCAACTCTGCTGAGACATAGAGGCAGCGATGTGCAGCTTGGGTAGGCTAAAACCAGATTAAATTTGTCTTACTACTGAAGGGGTTTATTGTAGACCCTTTTATTTGTTTACTGTAAATGCAGCTGGTTCAAACAACTCTGCAGAAAATTGGCTAAAAGTCTGCAGCTTTTCGTTGAATGTTTCTACTAATCCACTTAGTTAAAACAATTTTTTTTTACTATCTAGCAGTAGCGTCACATTGAGATGAGGTGATTTTTATTTCCCAATCAGATCATTGTGCACAAGGTTGGTGGGACTGGACAAAATCTTAAGAGGAGAGGTTGAGATGTAACATTTGTAATAAAGGCAAAGTTTATTGTATCTATGGTTACTGTTTTCTATTGTTTCTTGCTGGATTCTGTTTGCCTTTCCTCCTCTTATTCAAGCCTGTTTCTTCCAAGTTGTTCTGACTAGTTCTGTCTTTAAGAGCTGTCTGTTAAGTTTTGAATTTGTAAATGATTTCTTTTAATTAAGCTGCTGTTATATCTTTGTGTACCGTGGAAGTACAAATATCAAAGTTAATTTCCTCTCATTGTAGGATTTTGAAAGAGATTGACATTTGTAAAGAATGTCATTTACTTAAAAAGAAAAATCTAATCTGAAAAGAAATGACATATTTTTTTCCCTTTTTAAATCTGTGTAGTAGTACTTAAGTGTGGAAAAAGAAACCTCTACAGCCTTCAATTAGTATGCTATAAGGACTTGCAATAAAAAATAAAGAAAATGAAAAATGGCCAAAAATCGCACTTTGACCCAAAATGGCCGACTTCCTGTGGGTTTTAGGGCATACCTCCAAGAGACTTTTTTTTCATGATTTGAGGAGATCTACCTGTGTGCCAAATTTCAAATCTCTGTGACTTACAGTTTTGCCCAACTCACGTTAGGGGGCGCTGTGGCGTAATTTGGGGGGGGCCATTATGGATTCCATCATAGACCAGCTATTTCACACGGGGGACAATTTACTGCCACGTTTTCCTGAGTTTTTGAATATGCGAAGTCCCCGTAAAATGCGTTCGAAGTGAGAAAAGAAAAAGAATAATAATAAGAAACCTAACAGATACAATAGGCTCTCGCAACCTTCGCTGCTCGGGCCTAATTACTGCTGTTTGTAGTTTTCTTAGCAAACCTGAGAGGTTTTAAGGCTTTTATAATTACATTTTACCAAACTTATTTAAATTTTAATTCTCAAGAAAAAAGTATGACACATTAAATAACTTGTTTTTGGAACAACAGCACATTTAAAAAAACAGGAAGAAAGATTTTTCTACATGCACCACCTAAAGGGAACATTTCTTGAAGAAAAACGAAAGATTTTTTAGAAGTCTTAGTCTTCAAGCCTCTTTTATTCTGAAAGTGGAACTAATATAGTTTTCTGTCTGAATGTGGCCATTCCTATTCTCCAACAACACCTAAAGGCCAGAACGGAAGAATGACACATGCTTATTTCCTTTAAGTGATCGTGTTTCATGGAGGATGTCACCCTGCCAGGTGATAAATACAACAATAACTAAAACACTCCTTACCCTTGAGGTCCAGGTTACGAGCACCATTGGAGTGCTGTGTCACGGTGCGTGAGTCGATCTTAAGCGTGTGTACATTGTTGGCATCCCGGGACACCACCACGTTGTGCCATTGATTGTCATTGAGTGGCTTGTCTGAATTCCCCTTCATTAGTGATGGGCCGTTGCCGAGATCAAAGACATAGTGGACGTACCTGCAAGGAAAGCAAATCAAGGCAACAACAGATAAAAGATGTCAATGATAATTTGGAAAAATACAGTCAAAAGCCATCATGGCTGTAACTGTATAGTTACTCTTACCAGACGTTTTATTAGGTACACCTAACTACCACTGAGTGAGCACTTCCCTTTGCCTTAAGCAATGCCTTTGTTATATATATATAAAAAAAGTTTTAAATTCTATTGCTTTTGAACGGCACTTTGTGAAACACTCACATCGACTACTCTGACACTAACAGCCATGGCAACAAAATGTGCCTTACAGAGAACAGATTCAGTATCGGTGACTCAGTACTTCAAATCCCTTGTCTTCCCCGGCTTCACACTTCAGCATGTAATCTACAAATGCCTCAGTGCAGTAATAGCTGTCAAGTTATAAGGTGACCTGAGGTGCTGCTATGACGTAGAGGTATGAGCGCATGACCCATATACTGCTGGTGAAGATTCTCAATCGTCCATTGTTCAGCCAGGCCAACAATTTCCTTTAATTACATCCCTTTCAGAGACATAGACAGGTATAGGGCATTGCAGGCTAACAAAAGAAGCCAAACAACCCTCATTCCAATGGTGTGGACCCATTCGTCCGTTTCAATGTGCATGTTTTCTCAAGGCTTTGTTGGGCCACTGTATAATGACTCAAACCCGAATGCTATTTCTGACATTTTGAATTGAAAAAGCTTCCTGGATGGGAAGCGAAACGTCTACAAACTTGGATACAAAGTCCAATGGATGTTTTTTTTTACTTTTTTGGAATGACCCATAAACTGGCCCTGCTCATCTCTCCCGGGTGTCTCTCCCCTCTCTTCTAATACACTTTCCCGTCTCCATATATATATGTGTAGATATATATATATATATATATATATATATATACATATGAAAAAAAGTATATATAAGAGAAAAAGTTTCTGCCTCATGTGGAACTTATGACATTTGTTAAGGTTTTATTTTGAACTGACCCAAAAATGAAGCTGCCTTCTCCTAAAGCTTGTGTTTTTTTCATAGTAATTGATATAACACACCCTTCTCTGAGTCAAATATGGCGCTCATTTGTATTTCTGAATGAGTTTTTTTTTTCTCTCTCCTTCATCTGAATTCTTTTGTTTTTCCTATTGTCTTTGTGGCAGAAGCAGCTTAAAAGCTTTTGTGTGTATAACAATGCTAACAACCGACCACAAGACACAGAAAAAGACAAAAGAAAACATGCCTTTGTTTGATAGTCTAATTAAGGAGTAGCTTTTGTGTTTCTACAATACGCAAACCTAACCTGTTTACTCAGTGTTCGTCTTTTTGGGTTAGTCTTTTCAGGGCTAAAACTAATGTCAGCCTTCAAAGACTGAATGTTTAACTCAGACTCTCACTGGAATCCCTTTTCAATTCTAGCAGTTTGCTGTAAGAGCAGTGCTTATCGGAGTAAATAAAGTGTTGAACCTAGGAGGCTTAAAGGAAAACCTCCAGTTATGTGCAGCTTTACTTAGAGAGAAATGACTGTAAAAGCCTTTCTATTTCCAGGTCTATTCGGTCCAGCGGGCGATGTGGAGGATCTAGGACTCTGAATAGTACAGAAAGCAAAGTGTTGGTGACAAATTAAATCACAGCTGGTTAATCAAATGTTAATTAGAATGATCAAGTATTTATAACAGTAGAATAACTCTCTGAGTAGACCAGGGGTGTTCAAAGTGCAGCTAGCGGGCCGTTTGTGGCCCTTATTTGAATTTGTGACGACCTTCACCCGGCTTCAAGAATGCCGTAAATATGAGTTACGAACCCAGGAGGATGATGTAGATACCTGTTCAGTACAATTTTACTGATATGAAGCCTTTGGAAAATAAACAGACCAGTAATAATCTTAATATATGGTTCAACACAAAAATTTACTAAGCTTTTAACTTAATTTAATTACTTTTAATTATTTTAATCACATTTAATTTGACAGTTTAAAGGACCATATATTTAGACCTATTTCTGAATCTCGGCTAAAAAAATAGATTGATTCATATAAATACTTTTCTTTTTTTATATACACAAAAAAAAAACATTTTAGATAATGAAGTTGCACACTTTAGGCTATTATTTGCTTTTTTTTAACATACAAACCTAACAATCTGTTCATGTTTTGGATCTACATGAGTCCATAGGACTATTTCTCACCAAAATCAGACGGCTGTGCTTATTATATTCAAATATTGCAAACATAATGTAATGTTGAGCAGGTTACACTACTGGTGTAGCCCAAACCGACACAAAAAATGTTGACTCTTAATTTTATTCCAAACCAAAAAAACATATATATATATATATATATATATAAATGATTTTATGAATTAAAATAATTTCAAATAAAACTAGTAACTAAAGTGAGTATTAAATATTATAAATTTTTTCAGTATAAATATAAGTTCTTCTAAATATTTGTTCTTCTAAAAATACGTTTAGGGTCAGTTTCAAGATGGAAGTTGAATCCAGCCTCAGTTTTAATTGTATCCCAGCACCTAATACGTACGCTATCAGGATTAGTCCAGTGATTACCTCCATCCATCTTTTCTTTTAGTCTTACCAGCTGTTGTGTCCCTCTGCTAAATAAAATCCGCCTGATAACATGCTGCTATCACTGCCACTTTTCACCATGAAGTCACTATGTTCAACGGATGTGTACTGTCACTTTTCTGCCAAAATATGCAGGCAAGATGTGTTTTTTAAATGTGAGTCCCATCTGCACAGAGCACTTTCTTCCACAGGCATTCTGTTTCCTCCACAATTTGACAAAAAACAACTGTGAAGAACTTTTTTAGTGTGTTCTTTCATTCAGAACCTTATTTTTGCCACTCTTCCATTAAGAAAATATGTGTGTAGTGGATGGCTAACTGTTGTCCCCTCCAAAGTTACCTCATACCTCTTAGCAGCTCTCAACGGGGCTAGTCTTCTGGGTTTTTAGTTATGTCACTTTTTCCATTTTCAAATAAATGATTAAAACATGTATGTAGAGTGTACCCCCCAAGCATTTGTTCAGTTTGTACCATTGGTTTTCTGAAAGAAACCAATAAAGCCTTTACTGATCAGCTAAAGGGACAATGCTTAAAGTTAAAAAACAATCCACTGGACTTTGTTTCCAAGTTTGAAGACATTTTGCTTCCCATCCAGGAAGTTTTTTAAATTCAAAATGTCAGAAATACAGTGGAGTTCAAGGCTCTATACTGTAGAGCAAAAACCTGTTTTGGCTTAGAAATTATGCAAATTTAAACGGACAGACGAATCCACCCCTTTGCAATGGGGGTCGTTTGGGTTCTATTGTTAGCCTGCAATGCCCCATACCCGTCGATGCCTCTGAAGAGGGTCCTAGAGGGAATTGTTTGGCTGAACAGGCAAGGTATTCTGTTCCCCTGTAAGGAGGTGGGGCTTGCGATGATAGCAGGAAGGAATCAACTCAAATGCTGTGTTTTAGGTTTTGAGTCCACCCCCTCTGTTTAAGGTTGGTTCATACGGTGTAGATTTACCGTTGAGTCTTGTCTTGAGGAAGTCGCTCTTCTGTGTTGGGCCATGCTTCTTGGAAACAAAGAATGGATTGTTTTTTTTAACTTTTTAGGAATGACTATGATCTGGATCACTGAGAATCTTCACCAGCAGAAATCCAAGCAGAAATCCAAGTCCTGCTTCATAAAGATGGAATCTGCTGAAGTCTAATAAAAATACCGTAATAAATAAATGTGCTCCCTTATACTGGAATGAGTAGTTTAGTAATACATAGGTGGAGGTGCACAAAACAGAGGCTGCCATGTTGAGTCGCCATCTTTGTTCACGGTAGCCTAAAGGAGAGAAACTTGTTAGCCTTACGCACTTTACCTTTTTATATTAACTAGTGTTGTGGGGGGTGAAAAATGCACACAGATGACCTTGGATCATTCTACTTGCTGTTGAAATGGATCATCTATACTCTTTACCCCAGGTAAGATAATGTAACCAAGGAAAGAAAAAAAGTATTATATATAAGAAAACTAGTCTATATTGTTTAAGCTTTTACTAGTTGGCTCTAAAATGGACCTGGAGGTTACAGGCTTTATGGTAGACTGGTAAGATAATTTATTGGGACACTTGTTTATTTTGGCGTTACGTTAAAAAATGGCAGTGTCATCCAGCAACTAGTTTGTCCTCCCAGCTGAGACGGCTAGTTTTTTGGTTAAGTCGGGCATACACTGCGATATTTTCAATCCTTGCATACAGCTACAGCTCAAACTGTATGACGAAACTGCAGGGTTTAAAAGTTCACATCTTACCATGCACGTTCTCACACTGTACGACCCAACATTCTGATGCGACCTTACAAGGGGCGACTGTATTTCAAACATGTTGGATTTTCTCCCGACCTTACGATTCCTGATCGGGAGGTGGTCCTGCTAGGCTAATCGCCCCATGTTACCCCCTGTATACTTAACGTCAAACAATCAGGCTGAAAGTCGGCCTGATTGAAAAATTCTCTCCCGATTGGAGAATCTGCCCGAAAAGAACAACAAATTATGCAGTGTATACCTGGCTTTAGCCAACACAGGATGAGCTTCCTTAACAGTTGCTGTTATTCCTCACTGGCGCAATAACAGCGGGCTTATGTCAGCTTTTTGCAGAAATATTTTCCATGTGACTCAACAGTTATTTAATTGTAGCTAATTTGTCAAAGGTCACAGGGTTGAAGTTTCCTCTACTCAGGAAGATGAGACCAAAGTAATAAAAGTTTTCTTGTAAGGCTTAAATGACCAGCGTTATAAGCTTTGTAACATATTTCAGGAAATTACCACGTTTAACATTACTTAGACTTGTGATACATGATCAATTAGCTGAAAATATTAATAAAACAAGAGAAGGCAAATAATTTATAGGGATCAATAAAAAGTAGGATTATATATCTTTCTGTCCCGCATCACCTGATGGGACCGTTGGACTTGTGCTGGATGTTGACATTGTCACATTTATGACACTATGCAGTTTCTAAAGGAGTTATTATACCCTTAGGAGCAAAGCATCAGTTTTGTTTGCAATTCATTTAGCAAACCACTAGATGGGAGTGTATTTTACACACTGCGGCTTAAAATTACACACAAGTGGTGGTCTTTGACATAATTTTATTCAACAATTATATGTGCCTTTTATAGTTTTTCAAGAAACTATATGTATTACGTTTCAACTGAGAGTATATTACACATTAAAAATGTAATGAAAATATCATTTTGAATGCGGAGAAACCTTAATGGACCTAAGAAATGTATTTTTTGGAAGTTAGCAGAATAGAAACTCACCCCTTCACTAGTTCCACAACTATGAAGTCATTCCCATCTCCAGAGTTGAAGAGCATGAGGCCATCCGGCGTGGTGGTTTTAAACTGAAAGAACAGGTGCATGGAGGCATAGGCTTGTAAGGTGGCTAAAGCTAAGTAGCTGCCTTTTGTCCGAAACGTCACAGGATCTGCGATGATGTGACGCATTCCGAATCGGGCGTTCAGCTCGCAGTAGGAGATGTCGCCGTTTTTACACTGATCCAGATATGGAATACTATTGAAAGTAAGGCCCTGTAGATGGCCAATGAAGTTTGAGGGCACCACGGAAATAAAGCGGCGCTCTGTCATGATGCCTGTCTCGATGTTGTGGAACTCAAGGCGTGTGTGGGCACCGGTCATCTGGCCTGGAAACACAAAAAAACTATACATCAGCTTAGGTTTTATTACAGTTTAAAACATTTTTACCTCCTTACAAATTTCAATGTGTTGTCCAACTTTGATAAATAAAAAAAAGACCAATATGAAAATACACAGACTAAATATAATAAGCAGATATATTTTTAAAAGGTTTTAAAACACACCTGGCACCTTCTGTGAAAAAACTATTTTCCTTTTGTCATTAAGGAACTGATAACCTACATTTTTGCCAAGTCCAGTTATGTTAACACGATCAGATCTGATTATTGCCACAGCTGTCAAATCAAGAAATCCAGGTTGCCCTCGCTGTTTAGCAGCCTGCCAAGGACATTCAGTACACCAAGATATATCAATAAGAGATAGTCAAAAAGGAAAAAATGAAACTAAACAAAAACATTTTGAGGCTTTGAGGCACCATTTAACCACAATAAAAGTCATAACCACTAATAGAGACACCACTGAGCACTGGTGAACCTTCTGAGGCTTTGCTTCCAAATTGCATCAAGATGAAATTGACATCACATCCTAAAGAAACCTGAAAATGCACCTAAAGCAACACAGGCCTCAATTGATTCAGCTAAAGTCAGTATTTGTGACTCAATGATAACCAAGAAATATAAGCAAGAAGATGTCAAAAAGGAGGAATGATGCAAACTCTTAGTTGGTTATCTGGTAGTCTAGGGCTGCTTTAGAGTACTTAAAATCTCTTCAGTCTTACATGAATTTCCATTCATCTGAACACAAGAAAATTCCATACTTTTCCCATAATATAATGAAAAAAATATTTTGCTTTTTTATTTTATATGGTTAAACCCCAGATATTGTTGGATGAAAAAAAATAGTTGTTTTTGAAAAAAGAAAGTAGGATTATTGGGAGCCAAGTAGAAGTATTGAGGGTTTTTTGGGGTAGATTTAATAATTTTACAGTAACTGTTATATCAAACGCTAATTTTTTTCTATTCAGCTTATCTTTATAAGTTGTGTTGCTGATGTTCAACTGAGTTCCTTGCCTCTTAAAAGCAGTTTTTAAGATAACTTCAACTCTAAAATGTCCAAAAAGTATTGATCATACAAATTAAACAACAACAGAGTGTCATCAGTCAAAGGCTTTGCCATATCCGGTGAAAGACTGACAGCCACAGAAGATCCTTGGTGCCTACAGTTATCAAGATATAACATATTGTTAAAGAAATTCCATATGAGTTGCTACAGAAGCAGCCATTCAAAATGGCCCTTCCTAGTCAAACGGCAGCCGAATGGCAACAGACTCCCCTCAAACTTCCAGCCACTGGAGTGACCCCCTCTTGCATATTTTTTTGCACCGACTCCACCCTTTCACTGAATTACATGGTCTGACCAGAAGATGATGCTTCACTTTAAATCTTAATGTCAAGGAAATTGGGGAAATTTTAAATGGCTACTGTTGTATGGGGAGTGGTGGCCTAGTGGTTAGGGTACAGGGCTTGGAATCCTGAAGTTGAGAGTTTAAAACCCACTGCCACACTGACCTTAAGCAATTTCTCACCTCTACAGTGCAGTGCCCTGCCCTGGGTGCTGCACAGTGGCAGCCCACTGCTCTCCAAAGGGGATGGATTTAAAGCAGAGAGTATTATATTAGTTTATTTTTATAAAATTATATTTATTTATGATAGTTAATTTCCCTTTGAAAAAAAAGCATTGTGAACTGAATAATAACTAAATAAATTGAATTTTATAAATTAAATCTATAATTGTGACTGTCACAAAAAGCAAACATACCCTAATAAAATAGAATAATTTTTTTAAGTGCTTTCCTTAATTATAAATGTTTACCTCTAACTTTACATGTTGTGATAAATATTTTTTATCTGTTTAAGCGTTTATTGGTTTTAGGACATCTCTAATTGATTAGCTTTTGTTTTCTATCTCTTAATAGACGCCTGTTGGGGTATGTTATCCAATCATGGTGCAGAAAATCTCTTTTTATGGCTTTATGAGTGAGCTGTGGAGTAATTCAGCAGGTAGTTTTTCCTCCACGTCAAATGGTTTCTGAACCAGTCAGGACTTCACAGGGTCACTTCTTGCCCCCGGCGCCGAACATGCACATTTCTTTCCTTCATAGCTCCCACCTTAGTCTCACCTCTTTTTTTCTTTTATTTTTTCTTTATTTTTGTCCATCAATTTTTTCACCTAGGGCCAAATATTGTGAGTTCATGTGACTCTCCCTTCTCTCAGTTATCAGCAAAAAATAATCCACTGTTCTCTTTTTTGCAGCGTCTACCTCATCAAAAGTTCTACTGTAACACATTTTTTAGTTTATTCTAAAAAAAAAATCGTATTTTCATCACTTTATGGTCAAATTATAAAGAACAACCACAGCAAAGTCGATGTGGGATGTGCTAAAGGCTGTGACTGTAGAAGGGGATTGATATTTACTCTATGAAGTTTCATGGAACAGTTACCCAAATGTTAGCAAGACTTTGACATTTAGGAAATATCACATTTTACTTTCTCTATTAATACTCCTAAATACCATTTTTTACAACAATGGATCAAGGGATCTGTGTCCCAAACACAGCCCACCTTCAACTGTGACATTATCCACCGACAGCTGCAGGCTCTTGCCTCGTCGCACCACCTTCACCGTGTGCCACTCGTTGTCATTCAGTTTCTGCCCTGCGAACAGTGTCTCGGGTCCTTTGCCTGTGGGAGGAGAGATTTGAGTCACAAACAACCAGTGGAAATGATGTGAACCCTAATCCACACACATACAGACACTCTCCCTGGAACAAACACACATACACAGAGGTTTGCTCAAGGTAGGTGGTGTTAAGAAAACCTGCATGTTTGCAACACACATTCACATTAACAACCCGAAATAGTGGAAACGTTTAGATTTTTTGAGACCTACCATTTAATCTCAATCATCTTGAAGCATAAATCAGATGTTGCAGTATCAGTCATTTTATATTTGGCTTTTTCGAGTGGAAGGAGCAATGGAATCATAGTAGACATATATAATTCCCTTTAACAACCCCCCCTTTCAGAGATATAGACAGGTATCGGGCATTCGTTCATTTCAACTTGCATGTTTTCTAAAAAAAACAACAATGCTTTGTTGGGTAACTGTGTATAGGAACTAACGCTATTTCTGACATTTTGAATTGAAAAAGCTTCGTTGATGGGAAGTGAAACGTCTTCGAACTTTGTTTTTTTAACATTTTTGGAATGACTATGACCTGGGAGACTAAGAATCTTCACTATAGCATAGACTTGTATTATGGATCCCTTTTGATAAACAACATTATAAAAAACAGTTCTGCCTAACATACTATAACAGACCTCTGATATGCCTTATTTTCTAAACTAATCAACAGTCAGTTATCAAAACAGACTTCATAGGAGTAGTATATATTTTAAATGCTAATTCCAAAACAGCGAAAAGCTGTATTTTTCAGTTTTAATGTATTTAAATAAAATATTGTTTGAAAGATGTTGCCATTTTTTATGCTGCAGTGCATTATGGTTCATGGTATTTTATATTTGATGTCTTATCGATGGAAAAAACTAAAATATTCTGAAATTATCATATTTTTTTTACTGTTGAGTTTCTAGGGATTTTATAAATATGATCAAAAATGACTCCTTGTTTTGGTTTTTGATCAGTCAGAGACAAATTCATGATCTTCCTTTATATAAGAAATTATTCAGTTATGCACAAAACTAGTAATTTAGTAGTTTTATTTATTTTGGGGAAAGCATGCCATTTTGAAGTCTCGCTTTTCTTCATGTTATATTCTTGTCTTATCAGTTATCTTCCTAGATGTATTTCACAACATATTGGGGTTTGTATTAATGCCTTTCGAATGGAAGAAAACAGTAAGAAACACTCAGCTTTTCTCTTATCGCAAGTATGTCAAACATACTTGAGAGATTCAGTTATGGGATGATAAGGGAGCGAAGCTGCAAGTAAATGTTTGGTTGTAAGATCTCCCTCTTTGTTGTGTTGTTTATCTTTTAAAGATGCAGTTCATGTTTGAGGGAATATTGTAGGTTATGTCGGATTTCAAAGATAAAGTTTGTTTTTTATGAACTGCTGGAGTGGATGTGAATCATATGCATTGAACCAATATAAAATAGATCCTTTCCATCATAACAATGTAAGTATCCCTCCGAGGTGTGATTCCCATCTTGTTTACATTCAGGCATCAGGTGGACATATGGAACGGCTTGTTAATTGGAAAGAAAACTGAGCAAGATGAGATGAAATAGGCGTACAAACTGGCAAATGGACAAAAAGTGCAGCAGCCCTTTGTTCATCAAACTAAAACAGAGAACAGCTGGAGGGCAAGATCAAAAAATTCAAAAGCTCTGTCTTTAAACTGCTCACTGTTTCTGCCATTTTGATTCTATACATCAAACATCACCCTCCTTGGCTCTACAACATATCAATTCCACCAGTGAAGGAGACCACTTCATGCTGCGGCAGATGGTGTTGCCGAGACGCTTATTAGAGAAATATTTGTATTAGCAGGGAACAGGCTATTTATACACAGTGAACAACAAAGCTCGATTGCATCAGCGAGAGAGTGACAGTGCCAAGAATGGCTGATTTTAATTAAAACAACAGTCATGGATCCATTCTCCAGTGCTGAATGATAAGCTAATGTGATTTCCCACAAAGGCCGAGGCAGCAGCTGGCAAACGCTTCAGCTGGAGTTTAAAGATTTCAAGTCGACATAAAAAGGGAAATATAGAAAACGACACTGAGAGAAAAATCATTCAACACATGGCTTTAGAAGCTGGAGGCCAAACATTAGTGCATGTGCACATTGTCCTAGCATTGAGGTGATGAAGGTAATAAGTAATGAAAGAAAAGTAGGAACATTTTGTAAAGAGCAATACACTAAACAGAAACTTCCACTTCAATAGCTACGGGGCAGTCTAAAATAGCATGTTGCTCGAGGATACCAGTCACTTCCATTAAGCTTTTCTCTGTATCACCCACAATAGTAGGAGAGTTGTGGAGTGGAGAGATAGTCCAGTTTGTTTTCTTAATAAAGATGTTAAGTTGGGAGATTCTATCTTTCTTAAAGTAGTGATTTGTTGTTATAGAAGCAATATTTGAAACCTCAGCCCAGTTCCAGGGTCAGTGGCTGTTTTCCGGTTGGTTAGCCAGGGAAAGCCTGAGAGTATTACAGCCACTGCTTGAGTGGATGATATACTGGAGTCTGCCGATATATGATTGTCCCATCACATTGATGTGAAAGTATTTAGTATATGAGGAGAGGGGAGGAGGGAAATCCTGTCAAATGATAAAAAACATACCACAACCAGCATGAGGATTGTTTTCTATTTACTGCTCTATCCAGGGTTCGTACGGGTGCTGGAAATCCTTGAAAATGCTTGCATTTTGACGTTGTGTTTTCAAGGTTTG